TTTTTGTCATGTTTGAGTTCCTTGTAGATCCTAGATGTTAGGCCTTTGTCAGATATACAGTCAGCAAATATTTTTTCCCAGTCTGTGGGCTGTCTCCCCGCTCTCTCAATGGTTTCTTTGGCTTTGCAGAAGCTTGTCAGTTTGATGATATCCCACTTTGTCTATATTATTTCTTAGGCATGGGCACCTGGAGTTTTGGCTAAGAATTGGTTGCCAGCTCCAACTTCCATAAGGGTGTCTGTCTCCTGCATTTTCTAAGGTTCTTATAGTTTGAGGTTTTACATTTAGGGCTTTGATCTATTTAGAGTTGATTTTTGTGTATGGTGATAGCTATGGGTCTTGTTTTAATCTTCTGCATGTGGTCAGCCAGTTTTCCCAGCACCATTTACTGAATAGATTCTCCTCTCCCCAGTGGTTGATGGTGGAGGCTTTGTTTAAGATGAGTTGGTTGAGAAATTAAGGTTTTGCTTCTGGAATCTTTATCCTGTTCCATTGGTCTATATGCCTGTTCTTGTACCAATATCGGGCTGTTTTGATTATTATAGCTTTATAATAAAGTTTAAAGTCTGGGAGCGTGATACCTCCCACTTTTTTTTTTGCTGAGGATTATTTTGGCAATTTGTGGTCATTTATGTTCCCATATGAATTCCTGTATTGTCATATCCAGGTCTGAGAAGAATGCTGCTGGTAATTTAATGGGTATTACGTTAAATCTGTAGATTGCCTTGGTAGGATGGACATCTTAACAATGTTGATTCCTCCAATCCATGAGCATGGAATATTTTTCCATTTGTTTGTGTCATCTTTGATTTCTTTGAGCAGTGTTTTGTAGTTTTCATTGTAAAGGTCTTTGACTTCTCTGGTTAGGAAGATGCCAAGGTATTTCATTTTTTGTGTGTGGCTCTTGTGAATGGGATTGTGCTTTTTATTTGAGTTTGTGTTTGTTTATTGCTTGTGTATAGGAATGTGTCACACCACTTTCAATGGGCCGTGGGGTTAGTTTCATGTTCTTGCCATTGTGAGTAGTGTGGTATAAACATGCATGTGCAGGTGTCTTTTTTGTAGAGCGATAATTTATGTTTCTCTGGGTATATTCCTAGGAAAGGGATTGCTGGATCATATGGAAGGTTAATTTTTAGCTCTTTTAAGAATTACCAGACTGCCTTCCATAGAGGTTTATCTAGCTTGCATTCCCACCAACAGTGTAGGAGCATTCCCTTTTCTCTGTACCCGTGCCAGCATCTGCTGTTTTTTGACTTATTATGATAGCCATCCTTACCAGATTTAGGTGGTATCTCATAGATTTGATTTGTATTTCTCTGATGATTAGTGAGGCTGAGTAGCTTCAATAAATCTTTGAAAAGTTTGAAATACCCTGAAATCTAGAGCATATTATTTGTGGTTAAAATTTTGGCTTAGAATTTTTTTTTATGTTTAAAAAGTCTTTAAAAATGATTATGTTTTAAAAATAAGAGTGTGGTATACTGAGAAAAGTATTGGACTTAATCAGGAAAAGTGTATTTTTACTCTGACACTGCTACCAAGTAATTTAATCCTTTAAGGCAGATCTGTTACATCCTCTGGAACTCAGTTTAACCATCTGCTAAATGAGGGGTATTAATGATATAGTATCTAAATATTCCTTCTAGCTTTAAACTATGTTAACTTTTAACTTAGCTAATACTTAATATAATTCACTCTTTGTTTTAGAATTTTTGAAAAAGATGAACACGTACTTGTGTTGAATAAAACCCTGCAAAGCAGCCAATTATTTCTTCCTTTTGAGTCTCAGAGATTAGTACAACCAAAAAAGATGCATTCTTCAGAACCAAGAGTTAGAGGTATGATAGCTTATTATTCACAGAGTTCATTTTCTTTGTCAAAACACAAGAAGAAATAGAAACGATTTTACTTACTGTTTGGTGTAAGCAAGAACAAACAATGCTGGAGACCTATAGACTTGGGGGGAAAGTATTGCTTTGAATCTTTCTGAGAGCAAACAAAATATGTCTTCTATACCTCTTTTCTCTTTGAGAAGTAAATATTCACGTAATATATTTTAAAAAAATGTTCTGGTCTAGTCGCACAACTGTCAGAGGAGGGTGAATAATGATATATTTTTTAATTTGAGGGACTATGTTATCAGTACATGTGATTTAGGCTGGTAACAGGCTTGTGTTAATAGTATCTGTAAGTTGGTCACTGAGATACTTGAATCATGTTTCATTCAATGGGTCTGGATATAAGATTATCTACATTGTATTGGATTAACTACATTGGCTAGTTTCTTTTTCCCCTCATTCATATCACCATTCTGTATTCTTTGGTTACCTGTTATAATGGTATTTTTGCCTGCTGGTCATTTTGTCATTTCATATTCATAGTTATTGTAATAACTATTGTATAGTGAGAAATGAAGAGTTTTTAAAATACTTTCATAATTCTGTGTTTCAGTTTGAACTAAATATTCACATACACTTGATTATCTAAATTACAAGGTTAGGTTAAATATTGGGAATGATATTTGATTCTGTCTCCAGAGCTTATTTGAAGTAGTACTATTTAATAATCTAGATAAAAAAGAAGAAAGTTCTGTGAAGCTGTCAAAGCTTGCCAATATTGACTTCAGACAAAAAGAAAATGATACAGAGGTAGGTATTTTTTTTAATAGTATAAAGTAAATACCTGCTTGCATTAAATGAGATAATGAATGTACTTAAGACACAAAGGTGTGTGTGTGTCTGTGTTATAAATATATTAAATCAGCCATCAGTACAATCTCAGGGTCTAAGAAATTTAAAGGAGTTTCAATATGTTATTCTGAACATATATTGTAACCTGCTCCCATACCCCTAAAAATAATAGAAAAGATATTTTCAAATACCAAGCCCTGTATCTAGTAGACCAAAAACTGAGAAATCACTAAGAAAGAAAACAGGATTGGGTTTAAGAGGGAAAATGTTAGGTTAAAGATCTCAGTGGGACCTCCAAAAAATGTTAGGTCAGACCCGCTGGGGTGGAGTTGTGCAATCCGGTGCCATGTGAAAGATGCAAAGAATTACACAAAAGTTAGATTCGAAAATATAGTTTATTTAGAAAGTAAATGAGAAAGAGAGAGAGTAGATTCACCTCTCCAAGGTTCCAAGGTAGGAGAGGGGGATCAAAGCTTAGGAAACATGGCAGCAGCCATAGCCCAAAAAGCACATGGCCACACCAGAGTTTAGTAAAGCAATGGCCACTGGCTGCTCAAAGTTGAATCCTTTTTAAACTTTTCCTTTCATGGGGGCAGGTCATACGGTGATTGGGTGGTGGTTTGCTCTATGTCATGATGGAGGACAGGTATACACAGGTACTGATGTCAGGTGATGGACAGCAGGCAGATGGGTGGGTTAGTCACATGACAGTTGCCATGTTGATGGGGTCTATGTCATGAAGGTCTTGAAGAACGGATTAGGTTAACTTGTTTACAAAACAAGCTGGGAAGTGGGTTGTAAAGCAATTATCAATAGCTACCTCTGAGAAACTGGTTCTTTCCTTATCTAATGTTAAAATGACTACTCATTGGCTATATTGATTCCATGTTATGTCCTTTCAGAAATTATAGTCTGGGACATGCATAGGAAAATACTGTTCCATAAGATAGAAGTCTACGGACAATGAATAGGTTAATTGGTAGAGTTGCTTCAGTAGGAGTTAGTTTACTTAACCCCTGTTCACCTCATAACCACTGTACCTTTGGCCAACCATCAGCAATGGAATGACTGTCTCCAGGTAGAAGCAGTGAGTACCAAAGCTTGGGTGAGAGAAATAGTTGGGTTCCCTGCTTGGTTCTTGACGCCCATGAAGAACAAGGAACATACCATCCAGAAAGCTAACTGCTAGCGTCACACATCTTTAACTTTTCCATTCTTCCTGAAAATAGTCCAGAGGGAAATCCTCAATGAAAAATTTAATTGTTCTTCCGTTGGTAATGGTGATCACAGTAGTTAGTGCAACTTGTTAAATCTAAATATGTATTAATTATAAACATTTTAAAATCTGGTGCTAAAATTTCATTGATGTCAATATGGAAAGATAAATAAGGAAAACAAAAGTTTAGTAAAGTTATTTTGGGGGGGATGGAGGTAGGGAGAAGATATGAACACTGGTTAACTCTACATTGTTGGAAAAATGTAACTTTATGCATGTATGTTAAACATTTCAGGGTAACCACCAGAAAAGAAATGAAATGTGTTAGTTTTAAAATAGTAGAAGAAAAAAGAAAAAGCAAAGAAAAGTTAATTAGTTTACCAAAATACAGGAATGGCGGTAAAAATAAAAGAAAACATTGTAAATAGAAAAATAAGATGCCAGGAATAGTTCTGAACAAATTGGTAATCATAAAACTGTGACTGGACTAAGCCCCTATTAAAAGACAGAAGTACTTTTTCCCCCCCATTTTTATTTTAGATTCAGAGGTATATGTGCATGTTTGTTACATGGACATATTGTGTAGTAATGGGGATTGGATCTCAGGTGATCTATTCCCCAGATAGTGAACATTGTACCCAATAGGTAATTTCTGAACTCAAAAGACAGAGGTACTTCTATCAGATATATAAACAAAATGCAGGTATGTGCTATTAGAACAGAACAGCTGAAACAATTTGACAACTTACGGCTCAAAAAAAGAGGAAAATATATATCACGCAAATGCAAACAAGGACAAATGTGACAATGTTAATATAAAATAGAGTTCAAGATGAAAAAGAAAAGCATTAATGGGTAAATATATTTCATATTTGTAACAAGAATGATTTACCAATAAATTATAAAAACCATGTTGTAACAAATTACATAGTTTCAGAATATAGAAAGCTGAATTTGACAGAATTCCAGTTTAAACAGGATGCTTAATATAGCTCTCTTTACAAAAGTACTGATTTTGAGTTTAGAGTTGAGTTTGGCTACATGTAAAGTATACAAAACTAAACCAGTGCAGCAATAGCATCTTAAACAAGATAAAATCTATTTTTCTCTTATTTGCCATGAAATTCTAAAATAGGTGATTCAGATTCAGCAATGTCATTATTTCTCAAGCTTCATCTATGTGTTCTTTTTCTGCTGTTTTTCTTGCTATGCTTTTACCTTCAGGTCACCTCATGGTAGTAAAATAACCATTGTAAATTTGCCTTCACATATGCTTTCCAGGCAGGAAAAAAAAAAAAAGAGGAGAAGGCCTAGCTGAGTCAGCCTCATTTTTAAGGATCTTTGCTGAAAACTTCTTAAACAATTTATGATACTATTTCATTGGTCAGAACTTAGTCACCTGGCTACCTCTTTTTGCAGGAGAGGTTGAGAAATACAGTTTGTTTTTAAAGCAGAACACAAGGAAAAAGTAGATTTGGATAGGATAGGCAGTTGGCACTTTCTGCCATAGTGGTAAGGTGAAAGATAAAGTTGTAGGGTATCTAAATAACACAATTAACAAACATTGTGCTCAACATACACAGAATACAGTTAGATTTTTATTAGCAATATTCCCCCAAATTGACCGTTTACTAGAACAAAAAAGATATCTCATCAATTTTTAAAAGTTGCTATTTTCACTTACCATAATATAAAAAACAGAAGTCAAACAAAAAGATAACCCTCCCCCTCAAAAAACTAACAAGATAAAGAGAGGGATCTATACTTTCACATATCATAACATTCATTTTTTTTCTTTAATTCAGTATAATTTATAGATCATGTAATTTACCACTTACAAATGTACATTTAGTGGCCTTTAGTATATTAACAAGGTCGCACAATCATCACTGCTAATTCCAAAGAAATGGTTGAATTCACAGATAAAATAGGAAGCTTTCATCATCCCATAACATTTTAAAATATTATAAAACACAATAATTATAACAGTGTGGTACAGGAAAAGACAAAGTGGTCCATTGACTACGTCAAAATAAAAAACTTATGCATAGCAAAAGACACTAGCAAGTTTAAAAGACAATGATAGAATGAGCAAAAGTTTGGTATCCAGAAATGTATAATATACAAAGAAATACATAATAACTCTTCCAAATTATTAAAAAGATAAAAAGGCACAAAGCATAAGAATGCAGTTTATGGAAAACGAAAGGCAAAATGTAACTAAACGTAACAAGATGCCAGACTCCAGGAGTACAGGGCAATGCAAATTAAACCATTGAGATGCCCATTTTTACCTATCAGATTAATAGATGTTAAAATGTTTGATAATATCTAGTGAGGTCAAGAATAATGGGAATGTAATTTGGTACAACCACCTTTGAAGACTGGTTCACAGTATGAACTTATTAAAAATAAAAATGCATGTATTTAGCAACTTCGCTTCTTGGCATCTATTCTAAACAAAACTTGAAATACTTATCCAGATACTTGTACCAGGAGGTATATACAAACATGTATATTGTTTAAAGCATACATCATAACAGTAATATCACTTGTTCTTTAAGGGAGGTTCACACTTTTTCTTATAGTCTAATGGCACAATAAAATGACAGAATGAAGACCGATGTATGTTATCACCAAAATAAATAAGATGAGCTTTTCTTTCTGTTAACGTTTACATTTTGAGTCAAATAACAAAAATCAGGGACTCTTCAAAATGAGCAGCTCAAGGATAATGAAAGACTTGAAACAAACATTAATAAAGTGGTGATTTGATATTAATATTACATAATTTGAAGTTTAAAATGAAATATTAGCTTTTTTATATGCATATACAAAAGAAAACTTTAGGCTTTTATCTTTTAATCTGTTGTTTTACTTTCCTATGGTCAATTTGAGAGGTTAATAGAGGATAAAGGGGCACAGAAATTAGGTAGTCAATCAGTTGTGAAAATGATAAGATTTATTTGATAACTCATGAATATGAATGGCATAAAATTTAAAAAGGTTTATTTCAAATGTAGAATACTCCCACAAATAGTTATGACACTTGTCAAAAACATCAAGTTCCTTGAGAGTCTTAAACTTTTTTTGTTTCCTGGTTTCTGGCTTAATGTTTTGTGTGTGGTGATTTCAGTTTGTAGTTGTTGATGGTGATAATGATGGTGATGATGATAATGATGAAATGCTAATGAAGTAAGAGAGTCCTGAGTAGCTGTGACAAGCAAAAAATTTCAATTGTTTTGTGTAGCCAAGTCAAATGTTTAATTTCTTTCAGGTACTTAATGACTCTGCCATGGGTAACCATTCAAAATGTTCACATGTTACTGCTATCAAAAGTTCACAAAATGTTATGCAATTCAGGTAACTTTTAAAAATAAGAAAATACTTTAATTTTAAAAATAATTTATGAATATAAACTCAGAAAAATATAAAAATTATGTTTATTTCATTTTAGATTGTTAACCCCACAGAAACAATCAAATTGCAGTCTGTTTGAAAAAGGAGATACAGGTATTTGCTGTTCATATTTTTTCTTAGAAGTAGGAGTAACAAATGACACCAGCTTTTTATACCATTCAGATACATTATTTGGATTGCTTGCATCTCTGGTTAACTGATCATGCATACTTGACTTTAAAGTAGGTTTTTCCCTAAATATTAAAACAAACACATTTCATTGCAGAATATTTGGAAAATAAAGAAAAATATAAAGGAAACAAAAATACTGCCACCCAGATATAATTTATATTATACATACTGGTGTAAACTCTTTAAATCTTTTTTTATGCATATGTATATCTTGGTCCCCCCAACTTTGAATTATATTATGTATATAATATATTCTTTTTCCCACCATTGAGGTTATTTCTTCATGCCATTAAATAGATTTTATTTGTAATGATTGTATAGTGTTCTGTTATATGACTGCTATAATTTATTTAGCCAATCTTTCACATTGAATATTTTAACTTCTTTTTTTTTGTTATTATAAGGAATGCTAATATATTCTTTTACATTAAACTTGGAACTATTTTTTAAAATAAAATTACAGAGGGGTCACAGGATATATGTATGAGTTTATTGTCAAAAAGTCAACTAGCTTTTAGAACTTTGACACATTCTTGAAAATACTAACTCATACTCTTTCTCACCTTCTCACATATACATTATATACATACATGTGTGCATGCATACATGTACAATTACATATATACATGTAATTGTATGTATATTTGATATCATGCACACACATACATATATATATTTGTATATTTGGTAAACCAGAAATGCATAACAGTTCTTGTCTAACTACTGACTTTTGAAGTTTCAAAAATGCCTTATTCTGACAGCATGAAACAGATGTATATTTAGAATGTTCATTTAGTATATTATGAGTTTGTTCATTTAGTATACTATGAGTTTGTTTCTCTCTTAGTATAAGATTCAACCAACACAATATGCTTATTCCACACAGATTAATATTCTCCCTACTTTCCTCTTAGAGAAAAAAAATCATACCTTACTTGTACAGGTGATCTATTCCACCTGTTTATATATCATCCTCCATATATGCCAAACTAATAATGTTACATGAGGAGGAATAATCTGTAGGAACAGTGCATCCCTGATCTAGAGATGTGGGGAAATGTATATATCTGGCATAGTCCTAGCTTGTTGCTGAACATATATGGTAAGGTTTCATACCCAAGGAGACATATAATTACTTTGGAATTTACGGAGTTCTTTTCAACAATCTTTAAACCCATCTGATGAAGAAATTAATAAGTAGTAAAAATAATAGTTATGACTTAAATGCAAGAGACAAAAACAATAAAGGTTTCAGAAGATCAAATAGAAAACTATCTTCGTGACTTCATGATAGGATTCTCAGATTCTCTTTAAAGTCCCAAAATAATTTAAAGGCTCTGTCACAAAAGAAAGATTGATAAACTTGGCTATATTAAAATTAAAAATTTCTGTTCATCAAAAGATGCAATAAAAAGATTAGAAGGCAAGTCACCAAGCCAAAGAAAATATTTGCAGAATATAAAACTCTCAAAAGAGTAGTTTCCAAAATGTGTAAAGAACTTCTAAAAATCCAGAAAAAGACAGATGACCCATTTAGAAATATGTAAAAAATATGCAAATAGCCACTTCAAAAAAGAGAACTGTTTGTGGCAGATAAACATGAAAATCAGGGAACTGCAAAATCAGGAAACTCAAAACCACAATGAAAAATTATTACACATCCACCATATCACCAAAATATAAAAATTCTGACAATACTAAGTATTGATGGGAATGTAAGACAATAAGAATGCTCATAAATTGTTAGTAGGAGCTATCATTAATAAATGACTAAATTTATTAGACTAAACTTATTAAGACCACACCTAAATTATAATTGTAGCTAATAATTTTGTCTGGAGGAATTGAATGATTTTCTGGGGTAGTTTAGGATAGCTATTTTGCCACAAAAAAAATTGGTACAACTACTTTGAAAAACTTTCCATCTGGTAAAATGAGAGATACACATCTCTATGCCTCATAATTCCACTCCTAGATATACCTAGAGAAATACAAGTATATACATATCAAGATTATTAATACATGCAAAAGAATATTTATGACATCACTGATTGTAATAGTCTCAGAGAAGAAACAACTCAAGCGCCCATTTTCAGTAGAATGGATAGATATACTGTATTGTGTTTGTACAATGGAATACTTGACATCAGTAAGAATTAAGAATACTATGTCTTTTTACAGCAATGTGGATGAATCTCACAAGCATATGCAAAATAAAAAAGCACGACATCAGAGCACATATATATTATTTCATCATATGACATTTTAAACCAGGAAAAGATAGGCTGTATTATTTAGGTGATAAAACATCATAAAGCAAATTAAGGAAATGATTATCACAAAAGTCAGAATAGTAACTTACCTCTGAGGAGTAAGACATGGAAAATGTGGAACCTTTTGGAGTACTCATGATTGTCTCTCTTTTTTTTTAACCTGGGTGGTGGTAACATGGGTGTTCTCTTTATAATTTTGTTTATTCAACTGTTCATATTATGTTTTATTCTCTATCTGTATGTATTGTGTTGACCCATATGAAATTGCCATTTTTGTCAGTTAACAGTTAAACATCGGCAACTTCAAGGGTTAGACTTATATGTTTTATTTTATAATAAAATTACAAAATAGATAAATAGTTCTCATATAACAAACAGATGCTGAGTATGAGGATAAAGGGACAGTAAGACAATTAAGAGAATCAAAATGTACTTCACAAGTAAGTCAAATGTTTGATTTCTAATTTCTAAGCAAAAATTCCTATTTAAAATACTGTGTTCATTTTAATTTCAGATTTAGTGCAGTGAAGATTATTTATGTGAGATGGTGTCAGCTTGGTGACCAGGTTTCTAGGGAGTTACAGATTCTATTTTTCAGATTTAAAAAAAGTCACAAAAATTTACATAAAAATATACAGAAATATATTATTCAGCCATAAAAAAGAATGAAATCCAGTCATTTGCAGCAACATGGATGGACTGGAGATCATTATGTTAAGCAAAATAAGCCAAGCCCAGAAAAATAAATGTTGTATGTTCTTCCTCATATGTGAGAACAAAAAAGTAAATCTCATGAAGACAGAGAGTAGAGTGGTGGTTACCAGTGACCGGGAAGGGTAGGGAGGAGAGAGGGATGAAAAGAAGTCAAATAATGGGTACAAACGTGATTTGATAGAAGAAATATGACCTGTTAAAGCAGTAGGGTGACTGTAGTTTTTAATAGTCTATGTATCAAGTTAGCAAGAAGAGAATAATTCGAATGTTTCTAGCATAAAGAAAAGACAAATATTTAAGGTGATGGATATCCCAAGTATGCTGATTTGATAATCATAAATTATATGATTGTATTAAATGCTCATATGTATCTGAAACTATGTACACCTATTATGTATAAATTAAATTTTTAAATTTAAAAACGTACAAAAATTGTTAATAAGTGACAATATTTATTGAGATCACAACTAGATCATGATTAAAGAAAACAACTTTGTTTGGTAAGATTGAATAATTTACCATGACAATTCAGGACTGGTGGTTGCCATAAAAATATCTTGAAAAACATGTTTTAATAGTGGAAACCATTAGTGATGATAGATATAGACAATATATATCAAGTTTACCCTAGCTACTAAGGGTTAAGACAAGAGAAACAGCATAGTACTTTTCTGATGTAAAGAAATACAGGAAATAAACACATTTTAATTTTTTTGGCAGAGGAACCCAAATTGTTTCTGTAATGGAATTTGGTATAAGAGGTATATTTGAGAAATCATATCTCTAGCCTACAACATGATAGAAGGGAAAATTAGTATTCAGGTTCCCAATATTTTTGGAGAAAATAGTAGAACATACTTAAAAGGACAAAACAGTGCAAAAACATCATTAACTAATGAGAGCAAAATTGCTTAAAAGTAAATTATTTTTCACTTTAAGAGGTAACTTATACAGTTTTTCACCAGAGTAGAATGTAGAAGTTTTAAAAGAGAAATCATTCCTAACCATTGTTTTTCATCAATTACATGTTCTGGTTGTCATTTGCTTTTTCAGGTAGAAGTAGGGAAAATGGAGCTGGTAAGAAAAGAAAGAAATAGATAATCAAAATAATTATTTTTTGGATATATATTTTAGTATCACTTTTACCAGTTATTCTTATTTTGCTTATTTTATCTGTGAAATGTTGACACCATCAATTAATATAATATTTTCCATGTATTTTTATATATGTGATTTTTATTAATGCAGCAGCATTTGTTTTTATAGTTTTTTTGTTACTTTGAATTTGCAGGCTATATATACAGAACATTTTGGGAAAACAATAGAAAATAATAACGAAGTTGAAGAACGGGCTGAGGATTTTCCACAAACTCCTGAAATTCCTGCATTTTTAAGAACTCCTGAAGCTGTGAAAACACCTGAATCTTTGGAGAAAATACAGTTCCCTAAAACGCCCTTGTTTGAAATGTAGGATTTTAATTGATAATTATTAAATTATATACATGTTGATTTATATGGGTAACTAATAGAAATAGTAAAATGTATAGTATCTGTGACTTTTAAAAGTTGTATTATGTAGCATTTCAGACATACAAAGGAGAGATAAACTAATATAAAATCTCCATGTACCCATCACCCGGTTTGAACAATTATTGACATTTTGGTGTTCTTATTTCATAGACTCTCCTCCAGTTTTTTCCTGCAACATTTAGCTGAAGATGGCATAGATCCTAAGTACTTCTTCAGTGGAATAGCATATAGATTTAAAATTTCCAAGCAATACTTTTTAGAAAAATTAAAATCTCAAGCTAAGCCTGGCCCAGTGGCATGAGCCTGTAACCCCAGCTACTTGCGTGACTGAGGCAAGAGGATCCTTGAGCCAAGGAGTTCAAATTCCAGCCTGCACAGCATAATGAGACCCTTTCTCAAAAAAAAAAAAAAAAAAAAGTCAAGTTAAAAGCTACTGTCACATATGATATGATAGATTGTGGACTTATTGAATAATATTCCAACAATCATTTTTCCTTATGTTGTAGGGTCTGAAGCAAGAATTGCCATTCTGTTAAGTAAGCTCTTTAGGCATAAATATCTGTTACATGATTAGTTAATTCTGGAAGCCACAGGTTTGTAGTATGCAGCCAAGAAGATAGTGCTGCATTTAACCTTTTTGTTTAGTTCATCCTCCTTAACACTGAATCCTGAGGTTCCTCTAAAACATATGTCAAACATTTTACTTCAGGGATCTCTCACCTGTGTTATACTTCTGTATTTTAAATTGCTAGTAAGAGTTATATATTTGAATATCAGGCTTTTGACTCAATCACAGCATGTCCAAGGTGGAATTCACATTTGAGAATTGTTAAAACGTCTCTCTGGGATGAGAAAACTTTGATCTATAAAGTTAAGTGACTCATTCATGGTCATAGAGATAGTTATGACAGTATTTTCAGACTTCTATTATATTTAACAAACACAACAACCTATTGCTAGCCACTGTTCTAGGTATGTATAAATATTGCTCATTTAATATTCACAGCTTTATTAGGTGTTGGCACATTGTTATCCTTATTTTACAGATGAGGAAATAACACATGATACAAATAGCATTAGAGTTGAGATTTAAACCCTGACCCTTCTGGCTCTAGAATCCATACTTTTAACCACTGTGCTATATACTGTCTTATCTAATTATTTTCTCCAAATCAGCTTAGAGTTTAATTCCCTTATACAACACTCTGTAATGGCTGGCAACATTAAAATCCCGTAACTGGCTTTCAAGATCTTGAAGACAGTATAGTGTCAGGGTTAAGAGCTCAGACTCTAAACCTGGATTGCTGCATCCAAATTCCAACTCTAGTGCTTATTATTATTATTTTTTCTTTTTTTTAATTTTAAAATTATGGGGTACAGTTAAGGGTTAGGTATACAAATACGCATTGTGCAGGTACCCTTGTTGATGAGGTGTGCCCCCCTTTCCCCAGACAGATATTGACTATCGTTAATCGCACCTCCCTTCCCCTCCCTGCCCCCCCATAGTAGAAGTATCAATTTTGGTATAATAATTATGAATATCTACTGAAAATATATTGTCAAGCTCTATTCTAGGCACTTCCATGGGCATAGTTTATTTATTCCACGAAAGAATCCTATTGCAATAGGTATTATTACTATCACCTTCATTTTACAGTGGAGGGATTTTGGAGCACAGAAAGGTTAAAAAATTTGCTCAAAAGAATAATAAGTATCTTTTTTATACCCTGAAGAACTCAAATCACTCTATAAAAAAGATACTTATTCTTTTGAGCAAATTATTTAACCTTTCTGTGCTTCAAAATCCCTCCACTGTAAAGTGAAGGTGATAGTAATAGTACCTATTGCAATAGAATTCTTTCGTGGAATAAATAAATTATGCCCATGGAAGTACCTAGAATAGAGCTTGACAATATGTCTTCAGTAGATATTCATAATTATTATACCAAAATTGATTCTTCTACTTTATTTACTCCAAGCTATTCTTTCTCCAGTTTGTCACTTCAATAACTACTTCCTACCTTTCCCTACTATGCTAATATTTAACTCTGTGCTGTTGTTTATGGTGCTCACCAATCTTCTGTGTTTAATAATAGATTTTTTAACATTTTGATGATTTCTTATTTCTCAATAACAGAAATAGAAATGCAGTATTTGAAGTTCAAACACAGAAGGAGTCTCCTGGACTTTCTTTTCTTATGAGTTATACTTCTAGATCACCTGGATTGAATTTATTTGAGTCTTCTATATTTGATACAGAAGTCTCATCAGATCAGGTAATATAAGAAGCTAAGATTTTATTTTGAAAACTTGAGCTCTGGAATTTTGAGTAATTTTACTTCTTTAATGGTATAGCAAAATTTGTTATCTTTTTGTTTTCAACTTTAGATGCCCCAAATTAACATCTGTCTACTTAAAGAAAATAATCTCGGGATAGAGATGATTTAAATTGCAGCTAAAGGATTGCAACTTTAAAAATTAATTTGGATTTTTAGTTAATGTGTCTAACTTCTAAACAAACTTTGTGTATTCTCAGTGTGAAAAATGTTCCATGTTATAAATTGATCTTTTCAACTATATATATATATATATATATATATATATATGTACACATAGCAACATTATCATTGGCTGATTTTAAAAGACTTAATATTAATTTCTACTATTTAGTGATATGAATCATGATAAAGTGCTTATTTCTATATTTAGCAATTAAAACAAAATTAAGACATGTTTTATTTGAAAAGTAGAGACAATATAGTGTAGTGGTTAAAACTGGACTTTGAAGTCAGACTACTTGGGTGTGTACTGGATGTGGGATTTGGGGTAAGTAATTATGTTTTCTTATTTGTAAAATGAAAAAAAAAACTATTACCATAGGATTTGTGACTATTAAATGAGTTTGTATACATGAAACACTTAGAAAAGTATCAACCACTTAATAATTCTATAAAGTACCAATGTAATGTAAGAGTTATATAGTTATTGCTCATTTAAATTAGTCACATTTAGTCAATTTTATGTCGATTAGAATATTTTATTTCCATATACTTAACATTACATTAAATTGTTGATAATGTAAATTTGTTTATGGATAATGTAGTACTATACATTTGATAGTATTTCATGTCTTCAACTTTTGTTTCAATTTTTATTTAAATGTTTATTTTAAAGACAAGTCATTCCTAGAAGGACTGTGCTAGGCATGAAAAAAATAGACTATAGTTACTTAATTCTCATCTACAATAATGACGTGAATACAAAACACATGCATATAGAACTTTAACAGGAAACATGTACATTTTGAATAAGGAAAACTATGAAACTACTGAAAAAAATTAATGAATATATAGCTATATGAAGTACTTGTATAGGATGAATATTGTAATGATAAATTTCTTCCCCAAATAATTTATAAATGTAATCCAATTTGAATCTAATTGGAATCCAGCAAGATTGTTTATCTTTAACATTTTGCTTTATTTTGTGGTAGTGGGGCTGGGGGAGGAGATTGGCAAAATAATTAACTTTCCTGGGGGGAAGTGATCAAGAATAATCAAGAAAATTTTGAAAAATAAGATTGATAAAAATTAAAATGGAATTCTAAAAAAAAAAATTTAACCCAAAAGAAGGCAAAAAAGGAACAGAGTAAAAAAAAAAAACCACACAAAGTAAAATAAACAACAAAAAACCCCTAAAACAAATAGTAAAATAATGTTACACCGCATTGTGTACATTTTAATAATTACATTAATATGAACGGGCCAAAAACACCATTAAAAGGCAGTGTTAACCAGGCGCAGTGGCTCATGCCTGTAATCCTAGCACTTTAGGAGACAGAGGCGAGGAGAGAGGATTGCCTGCATCCAGGGATTCAAGACTAGTCTGGGCAACTTGGCAAGACCTCATCTCTACAACAAATAAAAAATTAGCTGGGCGTGATGGCACACACCTGTAGTTCTAGCTACTTGGAAAACTGAGGCAGAAGGGTCACCTGAACCCAGCAGGTAGAGGCTGTGGTGGCTGTGAGCGTACCACTGCACTCCAGCCTGGGTGACAGAGTGAGACTTTAACTCAAAAAAAAAGAGGCAGTATTTATATAAATTGATAAAAAGCAAGACCCTGCTATCTCTGAGAAACATACTTTTTTATTTGGGTCAGGGTCTCAGTCTGTCACCCAGGTTGGAGTGCAGTGGTAAGATCACTGCTTACTTCAGCCTTGACTTCTGAGTTCAGGCAATTCTTCTGTCTCTGCCTCCCAAGTAGTTGGGACTACAGGTGTGTACCACCATGCCTGGCTAATTTTTAAAAATTTCTTTGTAAAGACAAGGTCTTCCTATGTTGCCCCGCTGGTCTCAAATTCCTGGGCTGAAGCAATCCTCCTGCCTCAGTTTCCCAAAGTGCTAGGATTATAAGAAACATACTTTGAATTTAAAGACAAAGACAGGATGAAAGTAGCTGAATGGAAAATGATATATTATGAAAACTGTAAGCAAAAAAGGTCACACTGGCTATATTAGTATTTCTGGTAATCTTAAAGACTATTACTGGAAATAAGAGGGACATTTCATAAAGATAAAAAGGTCAGTTCATAAGGAAGATATAAGAATCAGAAATGTGTACAAGCCTAATAATTTCAAAATATATGAAACAAAAATTGACAGAATTAAAGGGAGAAATAGACAAAAACTCAAGCATAGTTGGAAGTTTTTAACAACTCTTTTTCAGCAATTGATAAAACTGGGCAACACAATAAAAATCTTCTATAAGATCTGAATAGCATCAGATCTTAGATGCTATTAGAATTATTAGAACTCAATGAGCTATCTAGGTAAATCCTAAATATGTAGGCTATGGATCAGAAATGTAGACCATTTCATAATTAAATGGAATCATGAAAATTAAGCTTATCAAAAATTGTGGGATGTTGCCAAAGCCAGAGCAAAATGATAACTTTAAATAATTTAAATAATAAAATTAATAAAAAGAAGAAATGTCTAAAATCAGTTTTCCGCCTTGGGACTCTAGAAAAAGAAGAAAAGCCAACCTAAAGTAAGTAGAATCAAGAAATAAGAAAGATTAGAAGAGAGTGTAATCCTAACACTTTGAGAAGCCAAGGCAGGAGGACTGCTTGAACTTAGGAGTTCAAGACCAGCCTGGGCAACACTGTGAGATCTCGTCTCTAAAAAAACAAAAACAAAAAAATAAGCATGGTCTGGGCGACAGAACAAGACCCTAATTAAAAAAAAAAAAAAAAAAAAGAAAGAAAGAAACGAAATCAATGAAATGAAAAGCAAATAATATAGAAAATTAACAAAGTCAAAGATGATTTTTTGAAAATAATTGACAAAACGGATAAACTTCCTATATTTGAAATGAAAGAAAGGATATTACTATAAATCCTAATGATTATGAAAGAGATTGGTGAGAGGAAGTTACTTTCTGCATAACAAAACATCTTAAAAGCCTAGAGTAACCAAAATGACATGACTAGAAAGTCTTGAAACCAAAGAATTTATAATGTGATAAAGATGAGACTACATATTAGTAGGGGCAATTTAAACACTCGTTTTATACTGTACACCAATAGAAGTTACAGATGTATAAGTTATATGAGAAAATGTTCATCATAAATTATTTAGAGAAAATATAGGTGAATATGTATTAGACCTTAGGAGGAATGATTCTCTAAGCATAAAAACAGTGGAAGAATAACCAAAAGAAGAAAATATTGTATTTGAGTACATACAAAATCTAAACTTCTATATTTTAAAAAATTTTAAAGGCAAAATGGTAAAGACAAAATATTTGCAACAATTTGGCAAATAACTAATTAACACCTTTAGTATATAAAGAGTTTGTATGTACCAATAAAGAAAAAATTACTCAATAGAGAAATGGGCAAAGTCTATTTGATGAATAGATAATTGAAAAAGGAATTCAGGCTGGGCTCGGTGGCTCAGCCTGTAATCCTAGCACTTTGGGAGGCCGAGGCGAGAAGATTGTCTGAACCCGCGGGTTCGAGACCCACCCGGGCAACTTGGCGAGACCTCGTCTCTACAATAAATAAAAAACTAGCCAGGCGTGGTAGTGCGCGCCTGTAGTTCCAGCTACTTGGAAGGCTGAGGCGGAAGGATCGCTGGAGCCCAGAAGGTTGAGGCTGCGATGGCTGGGAGCATGCCACTGCACTCCAGTCTGGGCGACAGAGTGAGACTCCAACTCAAAAAAAAGAAAAAGAAAAACAAATTCAATTGACTTATAAAATCTATGAGAAAATAGTTTTCCTTATTAATTCTCAAAGAAATATGAATCTGTGCATAATGATATTTATTCAGGTGTGATTTTTATATTTAAAAAAGTTGAGAACCTAAATGTCCAATATAAATTAATGATTAAAATTGTGTGGTATGTCTGTATGGTAGACTATTGCACTGCTATGAAAGGAGTAACGTTTTACACATAAAATCAATAAGGACATTTGATCTCAAACCAGGCATAGTGAGGACCAATGGGAACCCAAACTTCACCTATACGATAACCACTTATATACCTAGTCCTGAATTGTACCCCATATCATTAAAATATTAAAAAATTTAAAAAAGAAAAGTCAGATTTTAGAATAATGACAAGGAAAAAATGCTCACGATGTAATGTTAAGTGAAAAAAATGACAAAAACTTAGGTTATCTTGATCCTGTTTTTTCCCTTTAAGGCTTGTGTTACCGAAAAAATATACTTTTTTTTTTGAGTTGGAGTCTCACTCTGTCACCCAGACTAGAATGCAGTGGCCGCTCCTGGCCACCGCAGTCTCGACCTGCTGGGCTCCGGCGATCCTTCCGCCTCAGCCTTCCAAGTACCTGGAACTACAGGTGCGTGCTACCACACCCGGCTAATTTTTTTTTTTTTATTTGTTGTAGAGATGAGGTCTCACCAAGTTGCCCAGGAGTGTCTCGAACCCGCGGGCTCGGGCAATTCACTCACCTCAGCCTCCCAAGGTGCGGGATTACAGGCTGAGCCACCGAGCCCGGCTGACTTTTTTAATAGTAAGACTTAATCTGAACTGACATGAAGCTATCAACTTCCTGTTACTTTTATAGGCAGGAAAGCATACCAAGAATCTGATTTGTTAAAGGCTGTCAGAATATAGCAAAAAGTTCTAAAGTAGGAACTATTCTTAGTACAATATATGATGCTTATTAATATTTTATTTATTTCCAGAATCAAATCAATAGGTCTTATTTTAATATAAGTAAATGACAGGTTTGAAGATAAATCTCTTTTTAATAAAATAGTATGTTATATAAAGTTACTATGTCTACTTTAATTCTGTGTATTAGAAGAACCAGGCTTTAGATACAAGTATAGATGTTGTATATACTGTTCTACTGATTTCACAAGTAATGTTTAATGGAAATTATTTTCCAGTTTAATGAACATTATTCTGTAGGAAATCGAAATCCTTTGTCATCACAAAAAGAAATTGGTAAGTTATTTGAAACTTACTTCATTAAAAAACATGTTAACTTTTCTCCTTAACGTGGTATTTAGTTTCTCTAACTGATTTTCTTAGGTGCATAGTTTATTCTTTAGAAATTACTGCACCACTCACTTTTTAGAAAGTATCTGCACCACTTAGTGGTTTGTTCCCCCCCTCCTTTTTTTTTTGCTATTTAGCTGCTTTTCTCACTACCTTACCAAAACTTGCTTTTTCCACAATTACTAATGACTTCTTCATTATTAAAAATTATGGGTACTTTGTATTTACTATAATATTAAGTCTCTTTACAGCATTTGATATGGTTGATTATTCCCATCTTTCTGAAAGCTTTGGATTTCCTTCTCTCTCTCTCTCTGGTACTTACTTTTTATTGGATTTTCTTTCTTCATTTTTTTCCCTTGATCAGTTAATTCATTCAACATATAAATTTGTATATGTATTATATTTATATTAGGTACTGCTTTTGCTCTGGTGATAGAACCGTAGACAAGAATGCAGAGTTCTCACAGGGTTTATGTTATAGCAAACTGAAGATAGACAAATCAATATATAATATGTCAGGTAGTACACTAAGCAACAGGTTTGAATTGGCAGTCAGACTCACATATTATAATTTTAATCTAATATTGCATTTACTTTATTTTATAGAAAGATATAGGATCAGAAATAATGGCAGGTACAGTATCTTTGTAAGATTTTTTGTTTGTTTGGGGTTTTTTTGAGTCAGAGTTTCACTCTATCGATCAGGCCGGAGTGCAGTGGCACGCTCACAGTCACCACAGCCTTGACTTGCTAGGCTCAGGTGATCCTTCTGCCTTAGCCTTCCAAGTTAGCTGGAACCACAGCTATGTGCACCACGGCCTGCTAATTTTTTTTTTTTTTTTTTTTTGTAGAAACAAGGTCTCGCTAAATTGCCAATGCTGGTCTTGAACCCCTGGGCTTATACAATCCAAGTCATAAGGGTTTTTTTTACCACCTCACCCACATAGAACATATCAGACTGTTATGAACAAAAGACATGATGCATGTAGATCACCTTGACACGTACAAGCTGTAGCCTCAATTTCCCACCAATCTTTTATACCATTCTGGACATTCTTATGCCCAAGGTCGTTATGCTAACTCACAGCTCCCCTAGCTTGGGTGCTGTTCTACACAGCAGACTAGGTAGATGCAACATTCTACATTTACCTTAATTCTGTATCTTCTAAGGAAACAGTGCTGTGAGAAGTCAGAATCCAGCGTCATTCTTAGAGATGGGCCTGAATCAGCCCAAACTTGAAGTTAATTCTTTGCTTATTGTTGGTGATGAGTACTATAAAGAGAAATAAAGCAGAATAAATGGAATAGGGAGTACTTGGATTGGAAAGGTTATTGCTGTGTTACAAGCAGGTCATGGAAGGCATCACTAAAAGGCAACATTTGAGCAGAGACTTGAAGGAGGTGCAGGCATAAGATACTGGGAAAAGTGTTCCAGGTAAAGGGCGAAAAGGTCTTGAGATGGGAACATAGTATGTTCGTTGAATGGTAGGTCAATTGTTATGATTGGAATGGAATAAGGAAAGAGAAATTGGTGGGAAATCAAATCAGAGACAGAGAGGGGAAGCAAATCATGTGGGTCCTATAGACCAGTAAGGACTGTTTTTTTCTGAGTGAGATAGGAAGCCATTGGAAGGTTTTGAGTAAAGGACCAAAATGATCTGAAAGGTTTTTAAAAATTACTCTAAACTGGGCTTGGTGGCTCAGCCTGTAATCCCCCGCCTTTGGGAGGCTGAGGTGAGTGAATTGCCTGAGCCCGCGGGTTCGAGACCCGCCTGGGCAGCAAGATCTCATCTCTACAATAAATCAAAAAATCAGCCGGGTGTAGTAGCGCATGCCTGTAATTCCGGCTACTTGGAAGGCTGAGGCGGAAGGATCGCTGGAGTCCAGCAGGTGGAGGCTGCGGTGGCTGGGAGCGGCCGCTGCACTGCAGTCTGGGTGACAGAGTGAGACTCCAACTCAAAAAAATAAAAATAAAAAATTACTCTGGTTGCTATATGGAAAACTGACTGTGGAAACAACAGTGAAAGCAGGGAGACAGATTAGGAAACTATTACCATGATACAAGTGACAATTGATGATGGCAGTTGAAGTGGTAAGAAGACATCTGATTTTGGTTATAAAGTTTACTGAAGATAGAGCTGGAAGAATTTGCTTATAGAGTAGATATAAGGATCGAGAGAAAGAAACAAGTATTATGCCAAGGTTTTGACATGAATAGCTGTAAGAATGGAATTGCCATTTACTGAAATATGGAAGACTGTAGGAAAAGTTAATTTGAGATTGGGAGAAGAGAGGGGTTTTATTTTAGAAGTGTTATAATTAAAAAACCTAGTTATTAGATATATAAGTAAAAGTAAAGTAGGAAATTGTATATATGAATCTGGAATTCAATAGGATGGAGACAGATTTGGGGATTTTTACAAATTGTATCGAATGCTATGCTACCAGAATGAATCTACCAGTTGCAGACATTCATTAAATGTCTGCCATCTAAAATTTTAAATCTATTTACATTCTGTTTTTGACTCTCTTACTTGACACTTAACTTCAGTGCTTTAAAATATACATACAGACAGTGACCAAATTCATATCTTTCTGCACTGACTTCTAAACTCTAGAGACTTGTTTCTGATTGTATAATTGAAAGCTTTTGTATCTAAGACATTTTCTGACATTAAAAACTCAACACATCTAACATCAAACCTGTTCTCCTTTTGAGGTCCCTAGTGGGATCTCCATTTTGGTTTCTAAGTTTCAGAACATTGATGATTATTTTAACTTCTCACTGTGACTATGACTGTGACTGCATTTAGCTAGTCATCAAGTTTTATCTGTTATCTCTGAAATATTTTTCTATTTTCATTGAAACTATTATATTTCAAAATCTTGTTACTGTTCACTGAGTTGTTATAGTTACAATCAAGATTAATTGGTCTTTTCATTTGTTCAGCTTACATATGGGTCACAGCTTAATTAATCTTCCATATGCATAGTGTTGATTGACTATGTCACTGCCCTAGTTAGGTACCTTCAGTGACTCCCCATTGACTATCATATTATGCTCTTACCTTTCTAACTTAGTACCAACATACTTTTGTTTTGTTTTATTGATACATAATAGTTGTATGTATTTATTGAATACATGTGATATTTTGATACCTGTATGCAATGTATAATTTTCAAACAAGGGTAATTGGGATATCCATCACCTCAAACATTTATCATTTATTTATGCTGGGAATGCTTCAAATCTCTTCTTGCTGTTTTGAAATACACTAAAATTTTTTATAAATTGTAGTTGCCCTCGGTGCTATCAAATGCTAGAACTTATCACTTTTATCTAACTGTATTTTTGTACCCATTAGCCTACCTCCATTCATTCCCCATCATACCTTTTAAGCTTTTTCTCATATTAGAATAACCTGGGCTTTGGGCAGATTAAAGAACTCAATGTATCTCAAATATGCCCACACTTTCTTGCCTGCTTTTTTCTTCTTGCTATCCCTAACTTTGATCTCTTTCTATTTTTGAAGACCGAGTTCTTTTCCACAAAACTTTTCATTACTTCCTCAACCATCTATTCCTCACTTTTCTGAATGTCTCTTATTTTTTGTACTTTTTATTTTACAGTCTGCCTTTTGTCATTACTTATGAATTTATGTAAAATCTTCTCTAGGTACCAGATTTTTTGAGAGCAGGGACTTTTAAATTTACCTTTACATTCCCCACAGCACTATGATGCTGCTTTGCACAGTAATCTATTATTTTATTTGTAGTAAGCATAATAGCTTTATGAAGACCTCATATGAACTTCTTCTGAAATTAAAAACAAAATAAGATTTATATATTCAAAGGAGATTCAAGATTTTAGTTCTTTATGAATCTATGTTTATGTTATATCTACTTTCCTTTGTTTAAGTCTATTAAGGTGTACTAAAAAGTACATATAGTGGAAAAATTAAGTGAGAAAGGGAGAGAGATAGAACAGAGGTACCTGGTAATCAGTCTGTCCATTCTTTCATCTCTGTCTGTCCATCCATCCATCTGTTCTTCCATCCATCCATTCCTTCATCCATCCATCCAACTACCCATCCATCTACCCATCTATCCATCTATTTAAGGGTAAAATAACTGAGTTGTTTAAAAACATATGAAAACTTCAAATGACACAAAGTAAATTTTTTGTTTAATGTACTAGTTGATTAGTTCTCTATGAAAAAAATATAGTTTTTTTATTTTATTTTTTGAAATTACATGGCCCTAGTCAGTGCCAACACCTAGTGTGGGCAACTGGGTGGCAAGGGGAAAATGTCTATTGCTTGCAGGCAAGAGATATTTTTTAAATTGTTATTTCTTTATTTCAATAACTTTGGAGGGTACAAATAGTTTGGTGTGGGCTTTAAGAGTATCTACCATCCCCACCTGTGCACATTGTACCTGATAGGTGATTTTTTTTGTCCCTCCACCCCTTCCTTTCTATCCCTTTTGAATCTCCAGTGTCTATTATACCATTCTCTATATCTTTGAATATCCTTAGTTTAGCTTCCACTTATAAGTGAGAACATGCAGTGTTTGGTTTTCTGTTCCTGAGTTAGTTTGCCTAGGATGTTGTTCCCCAATTCTATCCAAGTTGTGGTGAAACACATTATTTCATTCTTTTTGATAGCTGAATAATATTCCATGGTGTATATATTGATATTTTCATTATCCACTGGTCCGTTGATGGGCATTTAGGTTGATTCTACATCCCTGCAATTGTGAATTGTGCTGTGATGGACATGCAGGTGCAGGTGTCTTTTTTATATTGGGGCCTCTATTCCTTTGGGTAGATACCTAGTAGTGGGTTTGCTGAATCAAGTGGTAGATCTACTTTTAGTTGTTTGAGAAATCGCTATACTGCTTTCCAGAGAGTTTGTACTAATTTACACTCACACCAAGAGTGTATAAGTGTTCCCTTTTCTCCATATCCACACCAATATATATTGCTTTTTGATATTTTAATAATGGCCATTCAGACTGATGTAAGGTATCTCATGGTTTTAATTTGTGTTTTCCTGGTGATAAGAGAAGTTGAGCATTTTTCATGTTTGTTGGCTATTTGAATATTTTCTTTTGAGAAATATCTGTTCATATCATTTGCCCACTTTTTAAATGGATTTATTTGCTTTTTTCTTGCTTATTTGTCTGAATTCTTTGTAGATTGTGGATGTATAAATATAGTATACACATATACATCCGGATATATAGTTTGCAAATATCTGCTCCCATTCTGTAGGTTGCCTATTTGCTCTGTTGAATATTTATTTTGCAGTGGAGAAGATTTTTAGTTTATAAGTCCCACTTGTTTATTTTTATTTTTTGTTGCATTTGCTTTTGGGGATTTGGCCATAAAGTCTTTGCCTAGTCAAATGTCTAAAAGAGTTTTTCCCAGGTTTTCTTCTAGGATTTTTGTAGTTTCAGGTCTGACATTTAAGTCTTTAATTCATCTTGAGTTAATTTTTTTATATGGGGAGAGATAAGGATCAAGGTTCATTTTTCTGCATGTGGCTATCTGGTGGAAAAAAATAAGTGTTTTAATAAAAGACTTTTTTTTCAGTAAATCTTTGGATTATTATAGATTTTCAATTTTTAATGATAATTGATTGGAAATATAATTAGGTTGTTAAAATATATTTGTATATTTATGGTTTTAAGTAATATAATAAATGAAAAACAATGTTTTTTCCTTAATGGCAGTTTTGGATGTTATCAACTAAAGCTTCTACATGTAAAAATTTATTTTAAAACTATAGAATTTTTTTCACTGCTCTCTTTTCTTGAACATTTCCATGAACAGTATATTGTTGTTGACTTAGCAAATAATGTTGAATAATTTTGATATGTCCATTATCTCTCAGATCCCAGCATTTTTTTCCCATTCCTATTGCTATGATCGTAGGTAAGATTAGGCTTTCATCATCTCTTTGCTGGACAGTAGATTTTTTTTCATTGTGACTATTCCCACTTCTATACTCTCCTGGTCCTACCTCTCTATACATTTCTCTCCTGAGTAATCCTTATAAAGCAGGATGTCAAATCTCTGCTTGAAAATCTTCAGTGGCTTCCTGTTATCTGTAGTGGTACATTCAACAATCTTTCCAAGCCCATCTTCGTTAATTCCCATTTAATACATCTCTATTATTTCTCAGTGTTCCTACCAAGCTGAGTTGATTTCTGTTACTCTGATACTTCCTGTGCATGCCTGTTTCTGTCCCTTTGTGTTATTCTTTGCATTTGAGTTGTTTTACCTCACTTTCTACCTTTTGTAGTAGTTCTGTATATTCTTGAGTTCAAATTACTTGAAAGTAGGGTTTAAATTTGTGTGTTTTAACTTTTATAGTACCAAGGACAATGCCATGCACTTAAAAGAATACAGTTAAATACCTGCTAAATAAATGATTCAGATCGTATGCAGTATACTATAATTCAGTAGGTTATAAAAATTTGATATGACATGAATGGCATGATATTGTAATATTTATCTTCCTCAGGAAACTTGTTTGAGAAACCGGAAGAAGATACCTTTACATTTTCTTTTCCATCAGACACTTCAACTCATACATTTGGAGCTGGAAAAGATGATTTTAGTTTCCCATTTTCCTTTGAACAGGATCAAAATGCAATACCTTCTTCTTCTCTAAAAGGTTTTTCATCTTCCTCACAAAATACAACACAGTTTACTTTTTTTTGAACTAGTTATTAATTCCTTGAATTATTTTACTGCTCTGTAGTCATGAAGGCATGCATTTACATTATTGCTTAAAACATAATAACTGTCTACTTTCTTTTGTTGATAAAACAATGGTTACATTTATTTGATTATATTTATTGAAATACTGAATATTTTGTTTTTGTTTGTGGTATTGACTAATCATTTTTTTTGTTTTTGTTCAGGTATAACTTTTTGTTTTTATTTTTAAATTGAGACATGGTTTTGCTCTGTTGTCCAGACTGGAGTATGGTGGTGTGATCATAGCTTGCTGTAACCTTGACCTCCTAGGCTCAAGCAGTCCTGCCTCAGCCTCCTGGAGTAGCTAGGACTGCAGGTCCATGCCATCATGACTGGCTGCTTTTTAAAAATTATTTTGTTAGAGACAAAGGTTTGCTATGTTGCCCAGACTGGTCTCAAACTCCTGGCCTCAAGCAGTCTTCCTGCCTTGGCTTCCCCAAATCCTGGGATTACAGGCTCATTCTTGACCAAACTTTTATTAATATTAATAGAATTTGATTTGTTTTATTAATCTTTATTTACATAATAAGCCTGCTTTTTCCTGGAACCTAAGTTTTGTTCTGGCAATGTTGTAGGCACCTTGATAAGAACAAGAATTTCATAAGGTCATCAGGGATCTTGTAGTGGTGACTGCAGAGTTAGTGCTGAGGTGTACTTTAGCTGCTAAAAATTATTTTAAAATTACTGGATTTCACTTAGGCTTCACTGTTACAGTATTTAGAGTGATACTCATAATAATTTCAAAGAATTTGTTATCATTAGTGAATAAAGTCTGTGTTATTTTCTTCTAATACAACATGGTAAAATTCTAATTTTATCAGTTATGCTAATATCTTTAATGGAAGAAAAGTAAATGTAAAGGGCTAGAGTAATTTCTGAAAATTGTATTGTTGTATCAGTGGTGATCCTGTTGTATCAGTGATGATCTTGTTAATATATTTTTTCTTAAATATTTTTTAATATTAAAATTTTTTCCTTTCTTCAATAAAAAACAATTTCATCTTTATAGTTCATATTCAGTATTTGCTTGTCAATTAATTATATAACTTAAATGACGATATTTAAAATCTGATGACAGACTGCTCAATATCTTTGTATTTTGTGTTTTTTAAATTATCTGTATTGAGTTATCAAGAAATAAGGAGTTTGGCTATATTTTGATATGTGACTGCTGACAAATTTTTAAGCCTATCTGCTTCTTTTCCCCTTTCTGCTCCACATTTGGCCAAGATGATAAGAAAGTCTGGTTGCTGTCTTGTTTGGTGCCAGCAGAACTCACACCCCAATCTCACTCCCTATCTACCATAAAAACCCTAAGCCAGTCTCCTTTCTTTACTTTCTCAAGACATTTTTAGACCAGCTTAGAAGGCCTGCCCAGCTGTCCCCAGAATACCTTATTATGTGAGTAGAAAAATCTTTGTATACCCTATTGGAGTGTGTGTGGCATCACCAGTTTCTATATGCAAATCAAATTTCAGTTGAGGATCTGTAATGCTTCTTCACTGAGTGTCCACAAATTATCACAGTTGTATTAAATTAAACCTTCCCAAAGACCTTTAAGAAGGTTGAGCTAATGATAGAAGTAATTTAAGAAAGCTTTAGACTGTGTATTTTTATTTTAAAAAAACCTAGGCCGGGCTCAGTGGCGTAGGTTTTTTTACAGCGGCTCAGCCTGTAATCCCAGCACTTTGGGAGGAGGCGAGTGGATTGCCTGAGCCTGCGAGTTCAATACCAGCCCAGGCAACTTGGTAAGACTTCGTCTCTACAATAAAATTTTAAAAAATAGCCGGGCGTGGTAGTGCACATCTGTAGTTCCAGTTACTCGGAAGGCTGAGGCGGAAGGATCGCCGGAGCCTAGCAGGTCGACGCTGGGGTGGTTGTGAGTGTGCTTGCCATTGCAATCCAGTCTGGGCGAAGGAGTGAGACTCCAACTCAAAAAAAAACAAAAACAACAAAAAACAGAGTAACGCACATCAATATGGTTAGATTTATCATGTGTCAATAAATGAGGTAAAATAAAATAAGTGTTTTAAAAGTATCTACAGCACACATAGCATTTTGACAGTCTATAAAAGACTGGGAACAACCGGGCTCATTGGCTCAGCCTGTAATCCTGCACCTTTGGGAGGCTGAGGTGAGTGGATTACCTGAGCCCGCGGGTTCGAGACCCGCCTGGGCAGCGAGACTTCATCTCTACAATAAATAAAAAAATCAGCTGGGCATGGTAGCACATGCCTGTAATTCTGGCTACTTGGAAGGCTGAGGTGGAAGGATCGCCGGAGACCAGCAGGCGAGACTGCAGTGGCCGGGTGTGGCCACTGCACTCCAGTCTGGGCGACAGAGTGAGACTTCAACTCAAAAAAAAAAAAAGACTGAGAACATAGACATAGTCTTATACTCAAGTAACTTACAACTTGATTTCGGAGATAAAATGTAGGCAATAACAAAAGCACATTATAATAAAAGTTATATTTAAATTATATATAGTTTATAACTTGGTCTGTGGTAGAGAAAAGACCAAATGCTTTAAGAACTAGGGTGGAAAACGTCACTGTGGACTAGAAAGCCTAGGAAGGATTCACTGAAGATGTAGAATTGAACTAGGCCTTAAAAGTATGTAGATCATAAAATTATTCAGTGTAAAGTTGATGCTTTTTTAGCTTTGCATTTTTTAATTGCTTAACTCTAGTGGCTAGTCTTTTGTAAGATTTTATTACACAGTTGTTGAATTAATAGAATTGAACTATGGATAAAGGAGACAGAAAGAGCATTCTAGGTAAGGGAAATAATATGAGCAAAAGAAATGCAGTCACATATTTACTATATGTGTAGGAAATTAGATAAAAATAGTTCTAACTGGAGTGGAGAATAGCAGGAAATTGAGTTTAATAGATGTGGTAGGATAATATATAGCAGGCCTAGAAGTGTTTGGACTTGATTTCTGAGGCTAATAAGGAACTTAAATGTCAGAGTTCCAAGAGAAAAGGAATGACTAAAGAAAATTAAACTGGCAATACAGTCAGAGTTGGGAAAAATTAGAGCTAGATAAACCAATCAGTAGTCAGTTGTAGTGGTGCAGCTGTGTAGAGGTCATTCTAGGTGGTAATAGGTGGTAGTCTTGTGGTTTGAAACTGCTAACACCTAACATTGAAAAAATATAACTTGTTTAAAAGAAATGCACTTGATTGAATACCATCTGAGTGTTAGGTGAAAGGAACCAGAGTTGTTTAGTTGTATTGGAATATCCTAGTTTATCCAACTAGTGGAGGCATGGCAGTGCTTCAATACAAATCACAAAAATAACTTTGTATATCCAAATAGTCTTCTAAAGACAACTTTTTAAAGAGAAGTATTCCTCTAAAGATAAATCTGTTATCATCTTTAAAATAAGGATTTATTCCTTTTTTTTAGGAAGCAGGGTTTATTGAGAGGACAGAAAAGCTCCTACAGTAGTAGGGGACCCGAAGAGGTTGCCCCCTACTTCTCTTCAATAAGATTTCAAAAAGATGAGGGTCTTGTCGCAGAACCCCTTGCTACAGTTAGAAGAAAAGTCAGCACTGCATGTCTAATATCTATGCCTTGCCTCTCAGCTTTTGATGACTGCTAGCATTCCTTGGCTTGTGGCTGCATCACTCCAGTTTTTAAGGCCAGTTAGAATTCTCCAGAGAAATAGAACCAATTCTCTCTCTCTCTCTGTCTTTGTCTGTCTATCTATCTATCATTTATCTATATATCTCATATATCATCTGTCCATTCATCCATCTAGATTTATCTTAAAGGATTGGCTATCAGGATTGTGAAGGTGGCAAATCTGAATCTGTAGGGCAGGCTGGAAGTTTAGGCAAGATTTGGTGTTTCACTTGAGTCTAAAATTCACAGGGCTAAAAACTCAGACAAAGCTTTTGTGTTGCAGTCTTGATACTGAATTCCCTTTTCAGGAAGCCTCAGTCTCAGTCTTTGATCCTAAGGCCTTCAACTGATTGGATGAGACCTAACCATATGGAGGGTAGTCTGCTTTACTCAAAATCTACTGACTTAATGTTAATAGAACCTAAGCAATAACTTGACAGCAACATCTAGAAAGATGTTTGATCAGGCTGGGTACCATAGCCTATCCAAATTGTCATAAAATTAACCATTACAGACAACATCTTAAAATTTCTCTCTGCTCTACCTTTACACAGCCTTCCCTCTATGTGTGGAAATCTCCTGTTGCATCACTTTAATAAGCATAATTTGATTGCATTTAGTGTCCACCTGAGTGGATAATTCAGATAATCTCTTCATTTCAAGATCCTTAACCTAATCACGTCCACAAAGACCCATTGTTTTTTTCCATGTAGGCTTTTTACCATTTAGGTAACATTCACAGGAATTCCAGGGATTAGATCATGAATATCTTTTGGAGGGCCATTTTTTTTCCAGAGTGCGACATGAAGTGTTTGTATACTTTCTTTTATTCTTTATCCTTAGACTATCCAGTCACAGCAATATTTCCCAAAATTACTTAGGTTAGCTCCTATCTTCTATACGCTTTAAGTTTGATTATGCTACTCATTTATAATACAGTTAGATTCATTTAGGGCCATCTACATTCCATTTTTGGTTTATCTGAATTTATTTGGTTTTTAAAAAATTATATACAGTAAAATTTCTTTTTTGTGATGTGCATTTTTATGGGTTTTTGACAAATGAATCATGTATCTACTACCACATTACCATACAGAAGTTTTATCATGCTCCAAATTCCCTAGCATTGACCCTTTGTAGTCAATTCCTTCTCCTACTTCCAAAGCCTATAAAACCATAGATTTGTTTTCTGCCTCTATAGTTTTGTCTTTTCCAGAATATCATATAAATAGAAACATGCAGTATATTTATTTTAAATGCCATTTATTCATAGCCAGCATATGGAAACATGGTTGATCTTTATATATTAACTGTGACCATGCTAAACTCAA